TCTAAATTATTATAATAATGAAATGATAAATATATTAATACATTACTAATATTAATGCGGACATAACAATAAATGCAGACATAACAATAATCTGTTTTAGCGTCACGCGATTTATTCATGCCTGTTTTGTTTTTTTTTGTAAATCAGTGTAATGTGCTTTGATCACATGGTAACCCATAACAGCAGATCAGATTTTATTATCTGATTTAGAATACAGCAGAATGGAATCTGATTGGTTGCTTTGGGCTACTTTATTTTCTACATCATTACTGGTCTCCCATGGAAAAAAAAATGTATATATACAGTCATGGCCGAAATTGTTGGCACCCTTGATATTTTTCCTGAAAATCAAGTATTTCACACAAAAAAGGTATTGCATTAACACATGTTTTGCTATACACATGTTTATTCCCTTTGTATGTATTGGAACAAATATAAAACAGAGGCAGAAAAGCAAATATGACATAATGTCACACAAAACCCCAAAAATGGGCTGGACAAAAGTATTGGCACCCTTAACTTAATATTTGGTTGCACACCCTTTGGAAAACATAACTGAAATCAGTCGCTTCCTATAACCATCAATAAGCTTCTGACACCTCTCACCCGGAATTTTGGACCACTCTTCCTTTGCAAACAGCTCCAGGTCTCTCTTATTGGAAGGACACCTTTTCCCAACAGCAATTTTAAGATCTCTCCACAGGTGTTCAATGGGATTTAGATCTGGGCTCATTGCTGGCCACTTCAGAACTCTCCAGCGCTTCTTTGCCATCCATTTCTGAGTGCTTTTTGACGTATGTTTGGGGTCATTGTCCTGCTGGAAGACCCAGGATCTTGGACGCAAACCCAGCTTTCTGACACTGGGCCCTACAGTGCGACCCAAAATCCTTTGGTAATCCTCAGATTTCATGATGCCTTGCACACAGTCAAGGCACCCAGTGCCAGAGGCAGCAAAACAACCCCAAAACATCATTGAACCTCCACCATATTTTACCGTAGGTACTGTGTTTTGTTCTTTGTAGGCCTCATTCCGTTTTCGGTAAACAGTAGAATGATGTGCTTTACCGAAAAGCTCTATCTTGGTCTCATCTGTCCACAAGACGTTTTCCCAGAAGGCTTTTGGCTTACTCATGTACATTTTGGCAAACTGTAGTCTTGCTTTTTTATGTCTCTGTGTCAGCAGTGGGGTCCTCCTGGGTCTCCTGCCATAGCGTTTCATTTCATTTAAATGTCGACGGATAGTTCGCGCTGACACTGATGCTCCCTGAGCCTGCAGGACAGCTTGAATGTCTTTGGAACATGTTTGGGGCTGCTTATCCACCATCCGGACTATTCTGCGTTGCAATCTTTCATCAATTTTCCTCATCCGTCCACGGACCAGGGAGATTAGCTACAGTGCCATGGGTTGCAAACTTCTTGATAATGTTGCGCACTGTGGACAAAGGCAAATCTAGTTCTCTGGAGATGGACTTGTAACCTTGAGATTGTTGATATTTTGCCACAATTTTGGTTCTCAGGTCCTCAGACAGTTCTCGTCTCCTCTTTCTGTTGTCCATGCTTAGTGTGGCACAGACAGACACACAATGCAAAGGTTAAGTGAACGTCTCTCCTTTTTATCTGCTTTCAGGTGTGATTTCTATATTGCCCACACCTGTTACTTGCCCCAGGTGAGTTTACAGGAGCATCACATGCTTGTAACATTCTTATTTATCCGCAGTTGTGAAAGGGTGCCAATACTTTTGTCCAGCCCATTTTTGGAGGTTTGTGTGACATTATGTCGAATTTGCTTTCTTTCCTCCCTTTTTTTGTTTTGTCCCAATACACACAAAGGGAATAAACATGTGTATAGCAAAACATGTGTTAATGCAATACGTTTCGTGAGAAATACATGATTTCCTGGAGAAATATCAAGGGTGCCAACAATTTCGGCCATGACTGTATATATATATATATATATATAATAATATATATATATATATACGGAAGGCATTCAAGTCAAGTTTATATAAGAACCAATTTCAAGGAGTGGAAATGTATTTTTCGACATACTCCCCTGCTACATTTATACACTTATCCCAGCATTTAACTAATGCCTGGAAAGCTTCGACATAGAAAGATTTGTCAGCATGCCTGCACCAGTCTAAGACAGCCTGCTTCACTTCGCCACCATTGTGTTCATGTTCCCACAGAAAGATTAGTCTCTTGTGCAATTTCACAACAGGTTATGAATCGATTATCCAGGCTCAATTGTTCCACGTGCTGAATGTTCACAGGAATGACTGCTGTGGGCTGGGAACCACCACGGCTGGGATCGTCACTGGTGGACATACGATCATCTAAGGCAGCCTGCTTCACTTTGTCATCATTGTGTTCACTGTTACCACAGAAGGATTTGTCTCTTGTGCAATTTCATGACAGGTTATGAATCTATTATCCAGGATCAGGCACTCCACAGGAATGACTGCTGTGGGCTGGGAACCACCATGGCCAGGATTGTCACTGGTGGACATACGATCATCTAAGACAGCCTGCTTCAGTTCGTCATGATTGTGTTCACTGTTCCCACAGAAAGATTTGTCTCTTGTGCAATTTCATGACAGGTTATGAATTGATTATCCAGGATCAGGCTTTCCACGTGCTGAATGTTCATAGGAATGACTGCTGTGGGCTGGGTACCAGCATGGCCAGGATCGTCACTGGCGGACATACATCTTTTTAAATGTTTATACCATCCAAATGCGTCTCATCACCATGCTGTGCTTGAAGTCTTCTGCAGACATTCACAGATTTTACGCCTTCGTTTTCAAGAAACTTTCATCACATGTTCTTCCATGCATGTACTAAAACTGTTGTCTGCCATCTTGATTAACGGTCTCTGGACTTGCCCACAACATGTGTGCCGCCTGTTAGTAATAGGGACACACTTGCCACTTACTACTGTAGTACCGTGTAGTACTGCCATGCTAGCATCCCACTTTATACCTGTAAAATGACTAGTCCTGGTTTGACTTGAACGCTCCTCTTGTGTGTATGTATATATATATATATATATATATATATCAGGGGCGGACTGACCATTTGGAAACTCGGGCACTGCCCAAGGGCCCGGGGGTCAGTAGGGGGCCCCATGAGATGCCCCTGGTACCTTTTTCATAGGCTTTTTTGAGTTTGGGCAAGGACACAGGGGCCCCATGATCCCCTATTGCCTGGGGGTCAGTAGGGGGCCCCATGAGATGACCCTGGTACCTTTTTATAGGGTTTTTTGAGTTTGGGCAAGGACACAGGGGCCCCATGATCCCCTATTGCCCGGGGGCCCCATGAGTTGTCAGTCCGCCCCTGATATATATATATATATATATATATACACACACAAACATACAGTATATACACACTAGTTTTAAGAATATGAGGCTAGAAGACCTCTAGCCAATCATATAGGTATAAATGGCTCCAAGATCAGTAGGTCAGATTTACTAAAACTGGTGCACTCAGAATCTGGTGCAGCTGTGCCTGGTAGCCAATCAGTTTCTAACTTTAGTTGTTCAATTAAGCTTTGACAATAAAACCTGAAAGCTGGTTGGTTTCTATGCAGAGAAGCACCAGATTTTGCACCGTGCTGTTTTAGTAAAAAGCCCCCAAAGTGTCTAATGGAAATCTTGTTGTCGTTGTTGCCCTTAACAATACTTCAGCTTCTGTCCTTGGTGCTTCCATATTGTTCATAAAAACAGAAAACTGGGTATCTGACACTAACAAACCTTTAGACAGTTTTAAATAGGAAGCCCAAAGTAACCAACCACACTATGGTGACAAGTCTTGCAGAGGTCATGACCTGCACAAAACATATGACTCTGGGGTGGCCCCTAACAGGGGCAAGTGTGGAAGGGAAGCCAAAGAGCAGTGACTCACACACACAGACACAAAGACACACAAACACACACACATACACAAACAGAGGTGCTTCTTTTGATACCTTTAGATCAATATGGGGTCAAAGAAGCTTGAGCTGCTATGAAAATAGAAAATATTGATCTTTAAAAACAAGATGTCAATACTTACTGATGATTTTCTGATAGCTTGGCAGATGCCAAATACTTCTCCTTGTATTTCTACTCTGTGAAGCCTGTGGCTGATTGCATTGTATGTCTTACTTGTAGTATTGTTTGTGAAACGGTTGTATCAACCAATCTATTTTCTGTAAGAAACAACCAGCCTCAATAATTAGGGTATGTAAAATAATAACTGTGTTTTTCCACTTATCAACCAATCAAATTCAAAATTGCATTAGAGATGAATCTAGCTCTTTGCTGTTGAGCAATGGAGACATAGAGTTAGATTTACTAAAACTGGAGCACTCAGAATCTGGTGCAGCCAATCAAATTCTAACCTCAGCTTGTTCAATTAACCACAAACCTACTGGGCACTTATACCCCCTTCCTGCCCAGGCCAATTTCCAGCTTTCAGCACTGTTGCACTTTGAATGACAATTGCGCGGTCATGCAACACTGTACCCATATGAAATTTTTATCATTTTTTTGTGACAGATAGAGCTTTATTTTGGTGGTATTTATTCACCTCTGGGTTTTTAATTTTTTCTTAAACAAACCAAAAACCACTGAAAAGTTTGAAAAAAAACACGTTTTTTCTTAGTTTTTGTTATAAAATTTTGTAAATAAGTGATTTTTCTCCTTCACTGATGTGCACTAATGAGGCTGCAGTGATGGGCACTGATAGGCTGCACTGATGGACACTGACAGGTGGCACTGATGGGCACTGATGAGGAGGCACTGGGAGGTGACACTGATGGGCATTGACAGGCATCACTGATGGGCACTGACAGGCAGCACTAATACATGGCTCTGATATATGGCACTGATAGGCAGCACTGATAGGCGGCACTGGCTGTCACTGTTAGGCGGCACCTTTGCGCATTGATAGGCGGCACCTTTGCCCACTTATAGGCGGCACTGACTGGCACTGATAGGTGGCACTGATTGGCAGCACTGATAGGTGGCACTGACTGGCATTGCTAGGTGGCACTGACTGGCACTGATGGGTGACACTGAAAGGCAGCTCAGATGGGCACTGATATGTGGCATTGATGTGCACTGGTATGTGGCATTGATGTGGCACTTATGGGCACTGGCAGGTGGCATGGCATGAGCACTGACACAAGGCATTGATGGGCACTGACAGGTGGCACTGCTGGAGCTACACTGATCATCAGGGCACACTGATCATCAGTGCTCTGACTGACTGTGCTGGTGTACTGGGTCCAGGGGCGGACTGACACCTCATGGGGCCCCCGGGCAATAGGGGATCATGGGGCCCCTGTGTCCTCGCCCACACCCAAAAAAGCCTATGAAAAAGCCAATGAAAGGTACCAGGGGCATCTCATGGGGACCCCTACTGACCCCGGGCCCTTGGGCAGTGCCCGAGTGCTCAAATGGTCAGTCTGCCCCTGACTGGGTCCATTTGAATATATGGAAAATGCTTTGCATGCATTTCTGATGATGAAACATCTGGACATGGAACAGTTAAAAACTGCTTCTAAACACAAACGCTTATAAACACGGTTAACTGCGTTTACAAACATTTGGCGTTTGAAACGCCGGTAAAATCTACTCCTGAACGCAAGTTTGGGGCGTTCAAAAAAATGACTGTAAACTCAACTGCCTGTAAATGACTATGTGTACATGGACACATAGGAAAACATTAGGGAGAGTTCAGGGGCTGCTGAAAAAAACGCAGAACAGCTCCTGAATGTCAGTTTAGGAGCTGCAGTGTACATGAGCCCTTAAGGCCTGTTGTGGGCTGACGACACATAGCATTTGTGTGGACTAAGTCATGTCAGCCCTGGCCCCTGCCAAGTCATCTTTTACTAAACTGCTCAACTCATCCCACCCTTAAATCTTCACAACATAAAGGCTAATAATTCTAGACTCTTTGAGATAACACAGGTAGAGAGCACAGGACAGCTTTGAATTTCTTACATGATCAACAGATTTCTGCATTTCTATAACAGATATAACAAAAACACTTTCATTGATATATTTAACAGACCAGAAGGGAGCAAATAGGTGTTCATTGCTAGACTTCGTATACACTTTAACTTACATGAATACAGCAAGAACTCCAAAGCACTTGCTGCACTTGGCATGGTCTTGACAATGCACACAAAATCATAGTAAAAACACGACACGTTGGTTTTAATTGATTTCAGGGAGGGGTTTATTCATGATTAAGTCCTTCAAGTGCTGAAAAGTATTGGTTGAAGATGAGCAGAATCAGGTGGATGGCACTATTTGAAATGTACTGTTGCCTATGTATTAACATTTATTGAAAAAGGAAAGAAAGTATTTCACGGCGGTGGATGTTCTTTCACTTTAGGCTTGCACACAGGGGCGGACTGACAACTCATGGGGCCCCCGGGCAATAGGGGATCATGGGGCCCCTGTGTCCTTTCCCAAACTCAAAAAAGCCTATGAAAAAGGTACCAGGGGCATCTCATGGGGCCCCTTACTGACCCTGGGCCCTCTGGCAGTGCCCGAGTTTCCAAATGGTCAGTCCACCCCTGCTTGCACATTGGGACGAAGACATGTCCCCTGTAGTCCTGGCACCCGCAGCTGGTGGTGGAGATTTAAGTTTCCCTTGAGCAATGCTACTTACTATTGCATCTCAAAACACCCTAACTTGTGCAAAACAAATTTAATCAATATGAAAATGCAAACAACATCTGCCCTCGTTCTCGATCTTCACAGAAAGAAAAAAATGATGTTTTGCTGGTCTGTGTACCACTGTGGAAAAGGATTAGCCATATTTTGTGCAGATGGGGATAAAATTCTATCTCTAATCATATTAAGGAAAACAGGATTCAAAGTTTATAAAGATTGCAGAAGCTAAAACATCAGACACATCAGAGTTATCTTTTTTACAGCACAAGAAGTGCTGAAGTTTATTAATTTGCCCCGCAAACACATTTTTTCTCATTGAAAACAATTTAAAGCTATGAGGGCTAAAACTACCTGATTGAAAAATTGGTAACCATCTATTTCCTTTTATATTCCTTGTAACACAGCTGTCTCCTATATACAAGAGTCTCATTATGAAAAATGTTTTCCTTACAGTTATATTTTAGTGGGTATATAAACAAAAATACTAAAAGTTCTTCATATGCCCTAGTGCTAAATCCCAGCTTTTAGTACCCCAAAACAGCATCCTCCATCTGCTGGCTGCTGACATCATGAAATGAAGCAAAGTTTTTTGCTGTTTTTTGTTGTTTTTTTTTAAATTTTGGTGTCACCAGTAGGCTACCACAAATTATGGGTCTGACACCCTTGGTGACATTAAAGTAGACAGCAGTCTCACTGGTACCATGAACAAGCCTTCCCACAGGTTATTAGATGTTTTAATCATTTTATTCCAGTCCATTGTGCTACCTAGTCTATTTTTCTTCAGTTACAAGCCCTGCTGAAGGGATCTGGTGAGCAACCAAAACATGTTGGCTACTCCTGTGACTCTCACTTTAAAAAATAAAAATCAACTAGACCTATTAAACACACTTGCCCTCCAGAGGATTTACCCCCCTTTCTGACCAGGCCATTTTTGGCGTCACGGCGCTGCGTTACTTTAACTGACAATTGCACGGTCATGCAACGCTGCACCCAAATTAAATTTACATCCTTTTTTCCCACAAATAGAGCTTTCTTTTGGTGGTATTTGATCGCCTGTGCGGTTTTTATTTTTTGCGCTGTAAAAAAAATGACACTTTTGAGAAAAAAAATATATTTTTGACTTTTTGCTATTAAACATGTCCAATAAAAAAATTTAAAAAATCAAATATCGTCATAAATTTAGTCCAAAATGTAAATACATGTAAATTAATTGGTTTACATGAAAGTTATAGCGCTACAAATGGCAGTATATATACTTAGCTTTTTTTTTTTTTTACCATTAATGGCAGCGATCAACGACTTATAGTGGGACTGCGAAGGACATTCTGACACTGGGGGGGAACTGATATGGTGTCACTGACATCCCCAGTGACATCAATACAGTGATCAGTGCTAATAAAAAGTGCTGGCACTGTATTAATTGCACTGGGCATGAAGAGGTTAACATCTGGGGCGATAAAAGAGTTAGCTGTGTGCCGTTTTACATGAAATTCTGTGTTTGTGCCTCACTGTAAGCACACTGCTTTGCATGGCTCTGCTGTGCACAGCCATGCAAAGCAGTGTGCAGGAGCTGACAGGGAGGAGAACTGTTTTGTTTACTAACAGTTCTCCCCCTCCATCGGAGATCCTCGGCAATCTCCGGGCACTGGCGAGTGTAATCACTGGCCGAGACCCAATGATGACAGCCTTGGCCACTAATGGCGGCGTGGGTAGCATGCGCCCTGTACCTGGAAATGCAAAATCACGTATATATATATGTGATTTTGCGCACCGCTGCTGTCCTGTAGCAGTATTTCTGCTAAGGGGCGGCGCTAAATCTGTTAAACTTAAATGGTGCTCGATGTGCAATTGATGTCCTCTGTGTGGGCGTGTCTTGTTGCTCCTGTTTTTTTTTAATGATTATAAACTAATAAAAATCATTGAAATACAAACTTAAATGGTCCTCTTACTTCTTAAAGCGGAACTTCAACCACAAATAAAATGCCGGTGCCAGGGACCCGAAGACTGGTGAAGAAGCAGTCTGGGTGAGGACAGTGCTGAATCTTTGGACAGGTGAGTGGCTGTTTATTAAAATTCAGTTGCTACAGTATTGGTTAAATGGTTAGCACTTCCACCTGGCAGTACTAGGGTCATTGGTGCAAATCCCAACCACAGCACCACCTGCCTGGAGTTTGCAAGTTCTCCCTGTGCCTGCATAGATTTCCTCCAGGTACTCCGGTTTCCTCTCATACTCCAAAGACATGCTGGTAGGTTAATTGGATCCTGTCTATATTGGCCCTAGTATGTGTATGTATGAATGTGAGTTAGGGACCTTAGATTGTACGCCCCTTGAGCATTAGGGACTGATGTGAATGTAAAATATATATATAAAAAAGCACTGTGCACATTGATGGCACTATATAAGTACCTGAAATAAATACATTTTGGCGCATCTGACTGAAGATATTCTTTAACCATCTTTTTAATCACTTCTACAGTGACCTCTGTTGGTTTCTCCTGTTTTACAGAGAGCTGCCTCCACTACATGCCTGCAAATTATTCTTTACACTGGTATTCAGCATTCCACCAACAACCAAAACAAATCACAAACCATCAATCTTTAGTGACATTGTCAAGCTGTTTTAGGGGCCAATGAAAGGCCTTTCTCTGCTTCCAAAATTCTGCCCAAGTTCCAATCTTTAAATAGAAATTGTGTTGTCAACAACACCTCACTTGACAACACATGCACTCGCCAAAAGATGTCTACCATTCTTCTGCAAGAAATCATTGTCCATGTCCATAACATGACCAGTGTTAAATTTACCAGTACCAGTTAGGTTTCAGAATTTATCATATTTAAATGGCAAATCACTGATTGCCACTATCACAAGCCTGGTTAGAGGCTAAGATAACAAGAGGGCATCCCTTCTGGACCAAACACCCTTGAAATGAAGAACAGGGAATGAGGGGGCACAGAGTGGCATGGGTGTCAAAAGTAAAGTTCACAAAAGCTCACTTTTGACAGAAGGCATGACTGGACATGCAGACTGATGGTAAGATCACCAAGGGGCAAGGCAACAGTGGAAGTCTTCATGGCAAACCAGGATGGACAGCAGCTGGCAGTAACACAGGAACCTGAAACAGACTCAAAGCTGAGTCTGCGACTGACTACTGACTCCCCCCCTAAAAATGAAGGGTGGTGTCCTCAGAACCACAATATACTGACTACGAAATAGAATATGTGAAAAGAGATTCACACAAAAAATAGGTCCCAGTAGACAAAAACTGTTCCTTAGTGGAACTTCACTCAGCATTCTCAGTCAACATTGACTATTTTTAATCCTTATGCTACTAGCAATAGTAAAATAGATAGGAAGGTATATCATATTTTCTTTTATTAAACTTTTTTTTTACATTTTTTCGGTTACTTCCTGCTTTCCTTACGTAGGCAAATGATGTCATGCATCCCAGGAATCTTCAGAAAGAGAGGAGACGTTTTCACAGCTAAGAACACCTTCCTGCCTGCATGTCTGAGCTAAGGGAACATGGAATCACCTGCCAAGATGGCCATGGATAGAAATGCTGGGAAGTGTTTTTCAAAGTCATTTCTTAGCAAAATAAAGCATGGGGACATGGATGAATGAGGGAGTTTGCTTTGAATATTAAAAATTAATTAAATAGCGTTTTTGGGTTTGTGGTTCTCAGATGCAGTGTAATTCCACTTTTACTGGGCTATCTGTTGACAAGACTGGCATTAGGTCAGTGTAAATTAGTGTGCTCATGTGAATCAGCGTGTTTGAACAAACATGAGTGCACACACAACCAGCAGGCAATGACCCTTGTTCTACACATTGGTGCATGCTCACGTGGTCATCTGGTGCTGTCCCGAACATGATTTTTTATTGATATAAATTGCTCATGGCCACACAAATTTGTTGCATGTTCAGCACCCTACAAAATTAAGATTCTAAAATCTCCAATTCTCTATGTCAGCCCATTGCTGAGCTTTTTGTGTAGAAGAACTGGGGCAAACACAGATAAATGAAGCTGAATTCATCTCTTTTAGTTAGCATGTCCTAACATTTAATTGAAAAAAAAAATGGTTTTGCAAGGGGCTCCTCGGTGACTTTGCATAAGCTTTAGAGCTCAGTAAATAACTTTTAACAGTCAGTTAATATTAGCCTGGAAAACATGCGAAAAGGGCTTAGAGCTCCACCTACTGGTTGGAAATAGGTAAATATGAATATTTCATACTTACCTTAGAAATATATTTACAATGTTGATTGCTAAAACACTGTACACTAAACACCTTAGTCGGGTAGAAATAGCAACTAAATCACTTTACTTACTCCTACAGTTGCAAGAAAAAGTATGTGAACCCCTTGGGATTACGTGGAATTTTACATGAATTGGGCATAAAATGTGCTCTGAACGTCATCTAAGTCACAACAATAGAAGAAAGTCTGCTGAACATAATACTACACAAACATTAGATGTTTCCATGGTTTAATTGCACATAACATGTAAAACATTCACAGTGCAGGGAGGAAAAATATGTGAACCTTTGCACTTAATAACTGGTTGACCCTCCTTTGGCAGCAATAACCTCAACCAAACGTTTCCAGTAGTTGCAGATCAGACCTGCACAACGATCTGGAGTAATTTTGGACCACTCCTCTTCACAAAACTGTTTCAGTGTAGCAATATTCTTGGGATGTCTGATGTGAATCGCTCTCTTAAGGTCATGCCACAGCATTTCAATCGGGTTGAGGTCAGGACTCTGACTGGGCCACTCCAGAAGGCGTATTCTGTGCAGTTGCAGCAATTGTTTTGTTGAATTACTTGTATGCTTTGGGTCATTGTCCTGTTGCATCACCCATCCTCTGCGGAGCTTCAGTTGGCGGACAGATGGTCGTACGTTTTCCTGCAAAATGTCTTGATAAACTCTGGAATTAATTTTCCCATCAATGACAACAATCTGTCCAGGCCCTGAGGCAGCAAAGCAGCCCCAAACCATGATGCTTCCTCCGCCATGTTTTACAGTGGGGATGAGGTTTTGATGTTGGTGTGCTGTGCCTTTTTTTCTCCACACATAGTGTTGTGTGTTCTTTCCAACCAACTCAATCTTGGTTTCATCTGTCCACAGTATATTTTGCCAGTAGTGCTGTGGAACATCCAGGTGCTCTTTTGCAAACTTCAAACGTGCTGCAATGGACAGCAATGGCTTCCTCCGTGGTGTCCTCCCATGTACTCCATTCTTGTTTAATGTTTTCCTTATTGTAGATGTGTCAACAAAAATGTTAGCATGTGCCAGAGATTTCTGTAGATCTTTAGCTGACACTCTGGGATTCTTCTTTACCTCATGCAGCATTCTGCGCTGTGCTCTTGCAGTCATTTTTACAGTACGACCACGCCTAGGGAGAGTAGCAACAGTGCTAAACTTTCTCCATTTGTAGACAGTCTGTCTTACCGTGGACACATGAACATCAAGGCTTTTGGAGATACTTTTGTAACCCTTTCCAGCTTCATGCAAGTCAACAATTCTTGATCGTAGGTCTTCTGAGAGCTCTTTTCTGCGAGGCATGGTTCACATCAGACAGTGCTTCTTGAAACCAGTAAACCCAAAACAGGTGTGTGTTTTTTAAGGGCAGGACAGCTGTCAGCAACACATCCAATATCATCACACTGATTGGAGTCAAGGTTGGCTCACTCCTGGCTCCAATTAGCTCTGGGAGAAGTCATTAAGCTAGGGCCTCACATACTTTTTCCTCCCTGCACTGTGAATGTTTACATGTTATGTGCAATTAAACCATGGCAACATCTAATGTTTGTGTAGTATTATGTTCAGCAGACTGTGTTCTTCTATTGTTGTGACTTAGATGACGTTCAGAGCACATTTTATGCCCAATTCATGCAAAACTCCACGTAATCCCAAGGGGTTCACATACTTTTTCTTGCAACTGTACATCTAACACTGGATAGGAAGCTCTGGTTTAGACCTTTGAATGTTTTATTGCTCTGATTGGCTACATAATACATAGAAACCGCCTTATATTTTTATTGTGGGATGTTGAATCTAGTTTCTCCTGTGACTTGTTGTGAACACTGTTGTGCCATTACATTATAAGTGAGATTTAGAAACAAGTAAGGGACTTCATCATAAACAAAGTGGATGTTTGATGTAGTTTGGAGAATTTCCGGATTTGCAAATAGAGAATGTTTCCAGGTGTCACCAACTTGTCACATCACCACTGGAAAGCTGTCACTTGCCTTCCTCCACCTGACTTTTACTTGCATGGAATAAATCTGATGTATTTATAGCCTCTGTAATATTGTACACATCAACTCACTGAGAATGGGCATTATGTATGAAAGGTGCTGCAAAGGGAAAGAAATCATCTCAGCCACAGCAACCAACAAATCCCCTTCCAACTTTCTGTGCAGGAAAATGAACAAACAACATGGACAGATAGAATGAAAAAGACATTCTTACAGTGTGCATTAAAAGCTGCAGCAAGTCAGATACAGCCCTCCTCATTTCTTGGCTGGAGGATGTCCAACATCATCTAACTCTCCCCCCAGCCTGACTGTCCCTGGTCTACCCCTTTCATTCACTGGATTTCAGTTCTTTCAATCGTGGAGGCTCAGAATCACATGTGGTCATTACCTAGGGCAATCTGCATGCAAATTCAGACTGCCTAGGAACATCCACTCCACCAGACTAACAGCAAGGCATTTTTATGCATTTGAGCTGCAAAACTCTTC